GGGCCCCATACAAAATGTTGCTATGGGGCCCTGAGATTTCTAGTTACGCCCCTGGATTCATGGAAAGCTCAAGGTGGATCGTCAATGAAAAACACAGTGGGGGGAATTTATCATAGGAATTGCGAGTGTTTGAATGTGCACGGAATATATTTGATGCACTTTGCACCAGATGTATGATGCTAGTGTTGTTCATAAATGAGGTTTAATAGACTCCAGGAAAGAAGACTTGTAACTCCAGGAAAAAAAAGTTTAACTGTCGCTTCTTGAAGAAGTGGTCATGGGGACTTTTTAAGTTGTAATTGTTTTGTTAGGTGATGCTCCAGTTTCAGACAGCCCAGAACAAGTGCAGATGAAAACAGGTGCAAATCAGGTGGAAAAAAATGTGCAGTTGAAAAAGTAGTGCAAGCTCTGGTCAAAACAGGTTCAAAACAGGTGCAGTTGGAAAAGTAGTGCAAACTCAGGTCAAAACAGGGGCACATGTTAAAAGACAGATTTGCACATAAAAAAATGATCTAAGAGGCTAAAACTGTCACAATTGTTTTGATAAACTCCCCTCAGTGTTCTTATGATTGGAGTGCAACTTCCCTCTCAAACGGAATCAGCACTTCTACTGGATTCCATTACTCAAAGGAGAAAGAAAGACTCTCAGGGTTATTCACAAAATGGTGAATAGTTTGGAGAAGGCAGAAGAAGTGAACAATCTAGGACAACATAGCTGATTTGGAAAAATTCTCCAATTCTTCAGATACTCACTTTCCTGTTCAGCTATGTTGTCCTAGATCAGTGGTGGCGAACCTTGGCACTCCAGCTGTTCTGGAACTACAAGTCCCATGAGGCATTGCAAGGCTCTGACAGCCACAGACATAACTCCCAGAGGCAGATGCATGTTGGGATTTGTAGTTTTGGCACAGCTGGAGTGCCAAGGTTCGCCACCACTGTCCTAGATTGTTCACTTATTCTGCCTTCTCCAAACCCTTCACCCTTTTGTGAATAACCCTGTATGTGTCACATTGTTTTCACTCTATTCACTTCAGGTGTTTTAAATTGATTGAATTTACAATATTTTGCCAAGAGTATTGGGACACCCCTACAAATCATTGGATTTGGGTGTTCCAATCACCTCCTTGGCCACAGGTGTATCAAATCAAGCACCTAGGCATGCAGACTGCTTCTACAAAGTCCATTCATTACATTTCCTTGCTACTAAATAATCCACGGTCAACTGTTAGTGGTATTATAACAAAGTGGAAGTAACTGGGAACAACAGCAACTCAGCCACGAAGTGGTAGGCCACGTAAATGACAGAGCGGGGTCAGCGCATGCCGATAGCACACTATGCGCAGAGTCACCAACTGTCTGCAGAGTCATTAACTACAGATCTCTAAACTTCCTGTGGCCTCCAGATTGGCACAACAGTGCGCAGAGAGCTTCATGGAATGGGTTTCCATGGCCGAGCAACTGCATCCAAGCCTTACATCACCAAGTGCAATGCAAAGCGTCAGATGCCGTGGTGTAAAGCACGCCGCCACTGGACTCTTGAGAAGTGGAGATGTGTTCTCTGGAGTGAAAAATCAGGCTTCTCTGTCTGGCAATCCGATGGACATGTCTGGGTTTGGCGGTTGCCAGGAGAACGGTGCTTGGGATGAATTAGAGTGCAGACTGCGAGCCATGCCTTCTCGTCCAGCATCAGTACCTGACCTCACAAATGCGCTTCTGGAAGAATGGACGCCTTCCCCGAAGACTTGAAGCTGTTATGGCGGCAAAGGGTGGGCCAACTCAATATTGAACCCTATAGACTAAGACTGGGATGCCATTAAAGTTCATGTATGTGTAAAGGCAGGCGTCCCAATATAGTGTGAGGTATATATTATTTCATTCATTAGTGTCCTGGAGTTTTAAGACACAGACGATCGGAAAGGAAAATATGAAAGATTTTCTTTTACAGGATGGGATTACTTTACATACGGCCTGGGAGTGCCAAAGTCACTTTAAATCAGATGCGTACACAACAGAGCCCTTTACAACATAATGACATACAATATAAAATATAATATACAATAAAATGACAAATAAAGTTTAAAATAGTTGTAAAAATCCTTCAGAAATTGAGCCCAGGTGAGAGCTAGACAGAAGTTTAATAATAAAGAAGTTCATCAGCATGAGAGTAAGCAAGTATATAGTAACGTTCATTTAAATCCAAAGCTTTGTTTGTTTTGGATAAAGGTAGGAATGGTCAAACGTGCTGTTATTTGATGTTTTTACTATCTGAATCCTATTGGAGAGATTTCCCTTTATGTCCTGTTCTGTATGTACAACAGGAAGTGAAAAATAAAAAAATGCTCCAAAGTGAGATTTGCAGAACAAGTGTCCCTATTGCTAGGTTTCCCCTCTATCCCTGTTCTAAGTGTTGGCATTGGGTACTAGGATGATCATAAAATGTGGACACATACAACCAAAAAAAAAAAAAAAATCTGACAGCAGTTGTATCCCTCTCCATTGTATTAATAACTAAAAGAAAAAAAGTTGTGCCATTAGATGCATTCATGCAAAAAACAGGATGGGCAGGCTAGAACCAGCATGCACATCTTATACAGTCCCTATACTGAAGGCAAAGGTTACAACCGTGTCACATGTTTGGAAGCCACCCAAATTGCACAATAGTTCTAGGACTATAGATGACTCGCCCTTACTAAGCATGGCGCATTTCTGCCTCTCCCTCATCTTACATGCATATTGCAGCGTCCTTGCCCTAACCAAACATGGCTCCCCCCCACTTCCTGTTCCCCACCACCTTATTTTCGCTTTCCTGCAGAAGCTGAGTAATAGTCAGCTGACTGGAGGCGTATCTGGGCGTGGCGATGCCTGCGAAGGGGATCTCCGTGAATTCAGCTGACTGGGGCGTGTGTGGGCGTGGCCAGCGCTGTTATCAGGACGCTCCGGGGTTGAGCGGCTATTGTGGTGATTGGCGTCTTGCAGGAGTCACTATGAAGGTGGTAGTGGCGTTGTTTTGTGCCCTCGCAGCTGGTAAGATTTAATGTTTCACATATTACAAAGCAGCGGGAGAGATGCGACAGGGCCTGATACTGCTGTGTGGTGTCCATACGGCTCACCTTGTGTTTAGCGTTAAAACTCCGAGTTTGTCCTACTTACAAGTGTAAGGAGCGCCACCCGCACATATATTTCCGCCGGCTTCTTCGCCTCTCCAGCCCAATTATTTTTTTATGTGGGCGGCGGAGGAGCTCCTGTGTATTCCTCTTTCGTTTCAGCAAGCCTTCGCTCACTTCCTGGTGTCCGGCCATTGCTGTTTATTATTGTACACAGGTTTAGATGTGATGGGCCCATTGCCCAGGGGGCGGAGTCTGCCTCTTCGGGCCCACAGAAGAATGTTTGGTGAATAGGACTCTTTTATAACGCTGGGATGGTGTGTGGGATTCGTACGATCTCATCATACATGAGTCATCACATTCCCCAGGAGTCTGCTGACAGGTGACCTCTGTTGTGTAAACAAGCTTCCTCTCCAAGAAAGGTTGTACTTTATTCCTGTTTTCACTTTGGATAAAGTACAGGAGGGTTATAACCCCTGTCACATTCTCATTTTTACTATTTCCCATTGGAGATATTTTCCTGCTTGGTAGCCACTATAGATACCAATGCGATAGAGCTACTGGGAGTTCAGTCCCCCCTCCCTCCCCTGGCTGCAGTAGAGATACTGGAAGGTCAGCCGCCACTGACCACCCACCCCCCAGCTGAAATCGAGATATTGGGACTTCAGCTGCCCCTCCTCCATGGCTGTGATCGAGATATTGGGAGTTCTACCCCCATGACTGCAATAGAGATGCTGGGAGTTCAGCTGCCCCTGACTCCCCCCCCCTCCCCTGGGCTGCAATAGAGATACTAGGAGTTCAGTGCCCCCCATGACACCCAATAACCTCATAGTCACACTTCCATGGAAGCTTATTTACATCCTTTGTGTTCTCATATTCAGCGCAGGAAGGTTGTTTGTTCATTCATAATCTGGTGGTGCGGTGGCTCTGAATACTGGCGCTGCTTGAATGGGGCCACGCAAGCTGCGTCTTCGCACATCTTTTTCTCCGAGAGGCTGGACCGGGATGGGACCTGTGATATTCCAGCCTGCTATGAGGGACATGTCGAGGGGAGAGCAGTAGAAACGCTCAGACTTCTCACGCGTGTAATGACAATGGTCAAGAGGGATGCGGTCATCACAGAACAGATGGCTCTGCAAGAAAAGACCTCCCCTGTAGCACTCCAAGGGTTAACTGCTTGCTAATGTTTACTGGTATTGTGAGAAGGACTATTGCTTGCTTGAGTCTGGTTGGCTCCAAGATGGTGCTGACACCTAGAGATACTAGTTCAGGCCCCCCGCAATAGAGATGCTAGTAGTTCAGGTGCGCCCTCCCCTGCCACTCAACCCCCCCCTCCCAATCTGCATATTAGTAGTTCAGAAACTAGTAGCTTGCCTGTGTTTTAATACAAGGAAAGGTCTAGTGCTTGTACGTCCTGTGCTCGGCTTATTCAAGTACTAATGTAGAGAGGTACAAGTGCTCTTGTTACTAGTTGACCCTTGGATTGAAGTGAGGCTACGGGAAGCTGACACAGTACTTGGCAATGGGCCCATTGTTATCATTCATAACTCACATGATGAGACAGAAAATGCTTGTGACTTTCAGTCAGGTGTAGTGGTTTATGACTGGCTTATAGACTCAGACAGAAGTCCAGGCTTTGTAGTTGTGTTGGGATGCATCACCTGCACTGCTTACAGCATATATATGGACTATAGAACATGTGGCCCCGAAACGTTCGCTATATGTTGTCGCATGTGACAGTATTAAAGCCAAAACTTCATCACAGGAATTAACATTTTAAATGGGACATTTAGTAAAGCGACCTCCATAATTTCTCATGAGTCCCTTTTTTTTTTAATTGTTGGGACACCTGCTATGCATATTCAAGGTGAATGACTTGCCAGGCGGACATGAAGGATCTGTACTAGCAACCCTGGAGCTTGTTCTTTGATGGCAGGTAATACATGGCAGTTGCTGTAGTCTTCTAATCCTGACTGATTCCTTTTAGGCTAGGGCTACACTAGTGGTTACATTTTCAGTCCACTGAAGTCTTTACACCCAATAACAGGACTGTCAACAAGCAGTTACATCTTTCAATATTGAAACTGACTGCATGTAAATGGGGAAAACCCATAAATGTTTCTATTAAACACCATTTGCATTTATAGCAGTATGGAACAGATGTTACTATTGTGACATCTGTGTTTGTTCAGTTTATGTCTCCATTGCAATATGGAATAAAAAAACTAAACTTACCGGATCCATGTTGGGTCTTTGGGAAGTTGGATGTGAGCAGACGTGTCTGTTGACATCAGATTACCACCCATCCATATCATTCAGGTCTACCTCTGTTATCATTTAGGCTGGGTTCACACCTAGGCGTATTGAATATGCGTGTTTCGCGTTGCACGTTTTTACCGCGATTTGCGTTAAAAAAACCAAACGCCCGTTTCCGAGGGCTACTTGGATGTATCACAATGGAAACGCGAGACCAAAACGCCCCAAAGAAGTGCATGTACTTCTTTGGGCGTAGGCCGTTTTGTATCGCGTTCGGACGAGCGGAAATACGGCAAGGTGTGAACCAGACCCATTGAATACAATGGGATTTAGATGTTTGAGCGTTCGTCGAGCGCGCTACAAAGCGTTCAGGTGTGAACCAGTCCTTAGACTTAGAACTCGGAGGTACTCTATGTAAGCACACGTATCCAATGTTTTATCTCTCTCCACATAAACTGAGTTTCTGATCCGGTCCACCTGGAACAGTCATGAGGTCCTGACCACAACATTGCTTGAAAGGTGCCTTTGACCAGTCTCCAGAATAACTGACAAAGAATAACATTTGGCCTTTTCAGTGTATGATGCTAGTAATTGCCCATTGACAAGGCGTATGGGATGGTGTTCTAATTGGCATACAGGAAATACTTTTTCATGAATTGTCCACCTAACCAAAGCCAACGGAAAGAAGAACTTTTCAAAAGAATGTCGCTTTAGCCCGTTCTACAATGTAAGACTATTGCAGTAAAATGTGGATTCCCGGCTGGTTTATTTCCTTGTTTGCTTCCAGCATTATGTGTGTATTATTGTTAAATCACGTGTTGCTGCACAAACATTGACCTGTAAAATGCACGTAGTGTAGTTGCTAGCATAGTTTTAATTTCTCAGTGTTCCTGACAAAGTATAATTAAAGGCAAACCTTTAAGGGCTTGTTCACACCAAATGCAGACCAGATCTGCATGAGTTTCCGCGCACAGTGCAGTGTGTTTTGACGCGTTGCAGGCTGTTTTTGAACGGTGCTCGGGAGACAAATGCCGAACGGGCCGGTGTGTGCACGCACACACTGCCCGTTTAACATTGCGGTCATCGCAAGCCCGCCCCTCAGGTGGGCGGGCTTTCGATGATCGCAAGTACAATCTGCCTGTCCAAGATGGGCAGATCGTACGTTTTTGTTAATTACTTTACAACCATCGCAAGAATAAGGTCCTGCGATGGTTGTAAAGTGTATGGCCACCTTAATACTTGATGTTCCGGTATCTGGTTAAATATCAAGTACAAGTACTCTATCGGCCCCGATACTGGTATTGGTGCATCTTTGGTGTAAAAGTTAGCTTAAACATGCAAGTTATGTTGGAGTAAATCTCATAGTTGTGTGCATCCAAATCTGTACACTGTTGTGCAATTTTCTGACTTGGCTCTGAAACCTTGTTTTTCACCTTTTTTTTTTTTTTTTTATATGCAAGTATTTACATACCGCAGGAACCTTCAGTTTGGTGGGATGCGGCAGTTTTTATCAGAGGCTGGTGTGGTCTACCAAACCTGGAGGTGCCTAATTATATCTGAATTATATCCAGAGAATTCCAATACTGCAGACTTTATTGAAATTCACATCAAATCCAGTATATCAAAGAATAAAAGTGTTTAAAGCAACAAATGCCATGCTCTACTGACCCTTATATACCAGCCAGATCATTGCTTCCTGCATCTGTAGGGTTGAGTTTTTTTTTTTTTTTCACACATTTAAGTGAGATACTTGTCTATTAGTTACCTCTATGAATAAGCCTTTGGGTGAAACATGTGAGCGGTTGTAGTTGGTTGGGGATGTGCAGTGCTGGCATTTGTTGCTTTATACACTTGTTCTTTAATATACTGGATTTGCTGTGAATTTCAATAGTCTGCCGTATTGGAATTCTCTGGGTAGTGTGGTCTGTTCGTATACTGCTACATTTCAAGATGGCGACACACCTATTGGAAAAGCACCTGGGGAGTCCGGGTGGTGGCTAAGTAATTGGAGCGGTGAGATTTCCTTTGGCTCTGTAAGGCTACTGTGGTTACGTTTGTTTTCGGTAGTTTTTAATCTGCCAGAACACCACAGTAGAAGAACTGTCTTCTAAATTGTTCTCCCTTTGATGGCATTCAAGTCTGATACATGTGTAATAATGGGATTCTTTTATCTCTTACAGTAACAGCAACTCCCTTGTTCGGCACTGAGCAGTGTGCCAATGGCCCAGGCGTGTGGTGTGTGAATATCCGAACTGCTAAACAGTGCAGTGCCGTTACTCACTGCCAGCAAACAGTATGGAACAAGCCAGTAATTGTAAGTTTAAGATTTGTTCAAGTAAACCTTTTCTAGTAGTAGGCTGCCATTGCTGATCTCATTCTGAAAGGCTAGTTGCTGGTTATGCTAAACCTTAGCATCAGTACTTTGTTACTGGTTAGGAAAACCAGAGTAAGTGACTGTCGGCCGCCTTTGGGCTTGTCGGGGGCATCAGTTGGACATCAGTTTGAGACGGAGACCGTTCAGAGTTCATTAACAGGGGCAGTTGACTTGTTTGCAGCAGGTTTTGCATCTTAGACTTGCATGAGAATGCAAAACCTGTTTGAAGTGAACAGAAGCCTGTCGACACGGACTCTAAAGCCTCCATTAATTAACTCCAAAAAAAAATGTTTTAACTCCTGAAGTAGGGCTACCCCTATACAGCAAGGGTTAAGTGCTTGTTTGTGTCTAGGTGTTAAAAAAAATAAAAAAATAAGCTGTACTCACTAAACCACCCAAGCCGGCTTTTTTCCTTTTAGCACCAAGACAAAAATTAGCACTTAACCCTTGCAGTGCGGGGATAGCCACACAAGGGTTAATATTTTAAACCAGAGTTCTGCTTTAAAGAAGCTCTCTTGGTCTAGTGACTGCAAGTGCACACCAATTGCAGTAATTGGCTGAGTTGTGTATGCTTAATGCTTGGGGAATGTGCAGAAAGCGTTCAAAGTTAAAAACAACTTTATTGATTTCTTCTCTTCCAAATAGACTTGGTTTGGGGATATCCTAGCAAAGTCATTTAGTATATAATGTTTAGAAGTCCTTCATTCTACAGAAGACTGTTGGCATTCTCTGCTTTGCATGGCTTTGGTCTTTATAGGTTGCTGGCAGGGTATTCCAGCCCTAAAGCCCATTAAACATTAACCAGGTTATTCACAAAAGGGTGAAGAGTTTGGAGAAGGCAGGAGAAGGGAACAATCTAGGACAACATTGCTGAATTGGAGATTTTTTCCAGTTCAGTTATGTTGTCCTAGATTGTTCCCTTCTCCTGCCTTCAAACTCTTCACCCTTTTGTGAATAACACCTGTAAATTTTGGTCACACAAGTTACTCCTAAATAGCAACCCAGGCCTGAGATCTATCCTTTTGTCAAACATAGAGGCTTTATTTCTTTTTTGCCTGTAGTGGGGGCTTCCGCTTCTTGGTGCTAGATTATATTTTGTAGCGCTTCTTGGTGCTAGATTATATTTTGTTGTATAGTTAAGTGTTGATACTGATGCAGAGCATCATACTGTAACATGTTTTATTTTTTTGTTCCAGAATTCTGCACCCTGTGACATTTGCAAGGAAGTGATTACTGTAGTGGGAAACTTCTTAAAAGATAATCTTACCCAGGTATGTATTCTATGGACATAAAATATGATTTCCAGCCTCCACAGAGTTGAATATTACTGCAATTTACCTGCTCTAGTCAACACTTTGTCTGCAGAAAACATTCTGAGGGGGTTACTGGGGAAACAATGCAGCAACATGGGCTGGTTATACCTGGTTAGAATTTCAGCTGGAATTGGCCAAAAGTTTAGTGGATGACAAGTCTATTACATAATCTAGTTTAGTCAAAGCAGCCGGATCCAAACATTTTGACTGCAACCAATCGGCTGCAGTCACTAGTCATGACAGCTGTGGGTATCAGCATAAAATAGCCATAGAGGGAGATTTCATCCATCTGTGCTCTTTAGTGTGGATGGAGGAATTCTTCTTTAGGGTTTGCCCAACTTAAGTAACCTCAAAGCCATTTTCTTCTAGTGGACAGGTTAACATACGATAAGTGGCCCATGAAGACCCCAGGCATTGCTCTAATTATATATTGAATCTGTTTTACATCTTGTATTATGAACCCAATTGACATGTCTATGATCTTCTTACAGAGTGAAATCCTAGGTCTCCTAAATAAAGGCTGTGATATTCTTCATGATCCTTCAATGGTTTCAGAGTGCAAGCAGCTGGTCTCTGACTACTACCCACTGGTCATCAACATAATTGAACAAGAACTTGTAAGTTTGTGAATGAGGATTTGTCCATGTTATGTCTGCAAATGGGAGAAAATGGATTTTAAGTTTTTATGTGGCTTTAAACACTGTCCCCATTATGGTCAGTTCTATCACCACAGTGGTTACCTTTCTATCCTAATAGTCATAGGGGCAAAAGTGAGGGAGATCTTCAAAAGTACACGGAAGACACTTTCCTGACTGAGTCAATAAAAACACAAACACAACTGGAAGAAAAACTGCCACAGCTAATTTTTTTTTTTGACAGTCCCCATTTCAGAGATCCTATACCCTTCCTGTCTTTCCAGTAAGATTCTAACCCTTTAGTGTTGCCATCTCTGTGGAAGTTCCCTTGCACATTGCTAGATGAAAATGTCAGGCCATTTGTATGAAAGTTTAAACCGGTAATGGATCCCACAATCCTCTTAAACTGAAGGAATTTTGCAAGGCAGAGCAATAAAGTGTGACCTGGAGGGCATCTGTGTAAAATGCCTAAAAGGACCCACTTCTGCTAAAGGAGAAATGTCAGCATCTGAGGTAAAGGGTGTACAACTTTCCACTGTACCCCATTACATCTATTAATATTTGAATAAATTAAGGCAAAATGTTTTTGTTTTTTTAAATATACAATGGTTTTCTGTAGGTATTGGATCCATGTTTGCCTATTCAAATGTAAAAAAAATCAACAATTTTCCATTGGGTGTTCTTACACATTTGCCATGGCTGTATGTGGGTACTTGTTTGGGCTCAGGCACTTGCAAGTTGTTCCCACCATTGGATTGGCTTGAGTTAAACAACCATTCAGTGATGGCCCCTTGGTCTCTTTATAAGGTTTGCTCTTGTACACGCTGTAAATATATATATTTCTCTATATCAGTAAAGCAATTTTACATCCATTTCCTTTGTATTCCAAGTTTGGCAGTTAATGATTTCACATCATCCTGTATTTTACATAAGAGTAATATGGCTTTTTATTTTCTTACAGAGCAACCCAAGTGTGGCTTGTTGTGCTCTTGGACTATGCAAATCTTTGCAGCAGTACTTGGCAAACCTGAAACCCGTTCAGCTTGCAACTAATGAGATTCCTGGCGTGGATTTATCGAAGCTGGTGTCCCCTTTCATGGCCAATATCCCTCTTCTTTATCCCAAAGCAGAGGATGGCGCTAAAGCCGAGGTAAAATATAAGATTTGTCCTTCACAAAGTGTCAGACTCCAAAGCACAACTATTTCTGTGCCATTTTAACATGTACAGAAAATGATGTGGTTAGTTCTAGCTTGCTGGCACAACACTCAGAAGCTGAATCTGTCAGCTCCTAGACTTTCAGTGACAGTGCTGTTGGGACCTGCTGCCTACCCCACAAAGCATGAGGTATGCCAGTAATTCAATTTGACTTTTAATACACCAGTCTCATAGCTCTTTCTTATAGCTGGGAACCAATGACAATATGCTGTTCTAGTTATTTTCTGAATAAACCATCTCTGTCTTTTTTTTTTTTTTTTAAATGTGTTTTAAAATGTCTGTAGCTATGTGCATTGCAGTAAAATATATTGTCTGACACCTAACATTTTTTACAGCTGTAGTAGGGAATTTTGAGCTGGGGTTTTATAGAAGTCATTGGGGAATAAAGTGTGACATATGAGAGGGATGTGCAGATATGTTTTCACTGCTGAATTTGTGAAGGTGTGTGCTTTGGGATTGTTCAAACCAGTCCTGTCTGTAAACTGTTCTCAGCACTATGCCCCACGGCTAAGGAACATTCTGCATTGTGGGCTCCTAGTTCTGGGATTGTGCTAACCCTGGTGCACTTTTGGCAGACTGGAAAACCTTATAATTGATATTCAAAACATTTTACATTTGTATTCCAGTCTGCATGGTTCCTAATGTTTGCATTGTTGTAACCTGGCTTTCTCCTTTCTTTAGAACAAGGATATCTGCCAGGACTGTCTTCAACTCGTAGGTGACATTCAAGACTCTCTCAAAACCAACTCTTCTTTTGCCAAAATGTTAATTGAGAATTATTTGAAGGAATGTGATGAGCTTGGCGGTGGACTTTCTGAAATGGTAAAAACATCTTTTGGATCGGTCTGAAGTACTGCTGGAAGTCCATAAATGTTACAAATGAAAGTTTAGCAGAGAATGGATAATGTAGTTTCCTCTGCTGTCACCTTTGCTAGAAAATGTCCACATGTAGCACCCCGTTCTGTGGTATGACCACACATTTGGTCCTAAAACTGTTTGAATTGCAGTAGTCTGTCCATAGCAGTCTATATAGTAGACTACTTCAATTCAAACAAAGCATTGAGTAGGGTGAGAACGGTACTGTGGTGCTGAAAGCCAAGATTATCAATTTTCTCCATGCTCTCAAAGTGTGGTCTCCATTCTCCTGTACATGGACTTTATACAGCAAGTGGTCTCCTTTTTATACTGAACAGTAGTGTTGACCAAAACTTTACAGCTGTCTCCAGTTTTATTAATGCATCTGGGAGGAAATTCGAATTTGTATCACTCAATTTATGTCCAGCAACCTGTACATGATAATGCTTGGACTGGGAGAGGTGCTAGAAATCGAACCATGTGAACATGCTTACAGGAGGGCACAAGGATGACCAGATCACTGCAGTACACTGCTGCTCTTTAGTCACCATGCTGCCATCATTCCTGGACCTGGCTTTCTAAACTGGACAGGTCTAGAACCTTTTTATCTGCAAGAGTGCCTGCATCACAAGACTGGCTGAACAGAATTTTAAATCAAATATTTCCCAAGTAATCTTCCAGGACAGCATCAGAGAGTGTCCTCCCACCTGAAACAGGAAACGCATCACATACACCAAATAAAAGGGTGCTTACCCCTAGCATGCTTCAGTTTGTTTCCTCAGCCTAACGGGAGCATGGGAATATTTTTTTTCCCTGTATAGGCCTTCGTGCACGTGGCAGGGGCCTACTGCTCGGGTATCTCCTTAACAGGGCCAGCGGCTTGTGGGATACCTGGGCAAGATCCCTGAGGCAGTCCCCATCCTATCCTACCCTTACGGGTGAATTGGCCCTGAGGTTCCCCTCTAAGTTGCAACCATCCTCCTTTTGTGACGACTCCAGCGGAGTCTTTCCCCAGCCACCAGGTGATGGCTGCCCTCGACATGCCCATGTGCAGCGTCAGGAGGGACTCTGAACGGTCTAATGTAAGGTGGCGGGTCCGCCGGCCTCCCCAGCAGTTGTGCCAGGCCCCTGGGACTTTTGACAGGAAGCCAAACATTCCAGTCTGCTTTTGAGAGAAACTAAAGTGTATATTGGTAGCAGTAACTGATTCCATACCTGAGGCAAAATTGCATTTACATCTCATTAGAACAGTTTTTTTACTTGCATATTGTATTAAAATGAGGTTGTTTGGTGTTTTTAATGTGCCATGTAGAAACTTTACTAATTTGCTCAATGTTTCTTATTTCCAGTGCAAGACCTACATTAATCAGTATGGAGAACTGGCTCTGCAAATGATGATCCAAATGGTAAGTCAGAATGTGTAAGCTATAATGTCCATAATACAATACAAAAAACTCTTTGGGACACGCTACGATCAATATGCTGTGTTTGTACAGCCAAGAGGTTTTATTTCTTCAAATCGGAAGACCTTGTATGCTGTTGGCTAGGTCTGTGTTTACTAACCACTTCTCACCTGCAGTCTCTTTACATTTCCCAACTCGGTACTCTATGCTGGTGATCTGAGATCAGTACAGAGTACCGAGTTTTATTAATTGCATGGCTTCTGCCTCTCAATCTCCACGGTCACTGACTTCGGGTTCCCTGCTGACTACCCAAAAACAGCTTGATGTGATTGTTATGCTGGCGATGACATAAGGATTACATGCACGCTGCAGTCCTAACTGACGAAGTAGGCCTTCAGCCTGCACAGTCCTCCCTTTCTTTCAACTGCATAGTTAACCCCTTTCTCCTGTTTTAGTGTGGGATATGTTGGTACTTTGGGGGGGGGGGGGGGGGGGGGTGG